GTCGCACCGCTTCTGCTTCGGGTCCCACACGCCGCGCGGACCGTCGCGCCGGAGAACTCGACGCTGAGGCAGGCGCCGCCGCCCGCGGCGAGGGCCTCGTCCTCGACGCGCGCCGCCCGCGTGTCGCCGAGGGGGTTGGCGGCGCCGCCGGCGGCCGGCGCCGCGGGCGCGCCCGGGGGCGCCTCGAAGGCGGGCATGGTCTGCATGTTCGGCATGGCCTGCATGGGCATGGGCGCGTTCATGTTCATCATCGCGCCGCCGCCGCCGCCCATCTGGAGCGCCATGGTGCTGCGAGGTGTGGGTGAATCTGCGCGACGAAGAGCTTGCTGTCGGAGTCCTCGGCGAGGGACAAGTCGAGAGCTCGAGGTTCAAGTTGCCGCTACGGTGAACTCTGACATCCTCGAGAGCGTCCTCAAGCTGCCGACGTCCTCGCCCCAGGGGACCTCCCAGGTGACCTCGGAGTTCCGCCCGTCGAGGCGTCGGCCGCGGGACCGCTCGAGCCTCGCTCGCGATGCGCGCGTCTTCATGACGATCGATGTTAAGCTTAAGGTACCCAGAGGAACTCCAGCGCGGCGCGGCGGAGCGCGCCGTCGAGCCGGGACAGGAGGACCACCGCGGCGGCCGTCCGCGCCTCGCCGGGGCGGAGGAGGTCGCCCACGGCCGGCGGCGCGGCGCGCGCGAGGTGGAGGAGCTCCGCGGCCGCGGTCGCCGCGTGGATGAGCTCGGCGGCCGCGGCTCTGTCCCGCCGCCGGTCGGGCAGCACGACCGTGCCCCGCCACTTGGTGGAGAAGAGGCTCGTGCTGCTCGTCGAGACGGAGTGCGCGTCGCCGTCGGCGACGGCGACGAAGCACGCGAGCGCGCCGTCGACGGGCGCGCCGACGAGCGTCGCGCCCCCGCCGGCGAGGGGCAACACGTCGAACTGGAAGAGGCGGCCCCCGACGTGCGCGACGGTCTGGGCGACGACGCGGGCGCCGGACGCGCGGCGGACGACGCGCGCGACGGCCGCGCGCTCCTCGGCCGACGCGACGACGTCGCGGAGGCGCGCGCCCGCGCGGACGCCGAGCGGGGGCTCGAAGCCGACGCAGCCCGTCACGGTGAGCGCCGCGTCGAGGCTCACCGCGCAGCGGCCCGCGTCGTCGGCCGGCGCGGTTTTCGACGCGCCGCCGTACCGCCGGCCGCGCGCGCGCCGCGCGCGCCGCGCGCGCCGCAGGGCCGCGGCCGCGACGGCGGCGCCGAGGAGCGCCGCGGCCGCGGCGGCGACCCAGATGGTCGCCGCGCGGCCGCCGCCGCCGCGCGAGGCGCCGCGGTCGACGTAGTGGAACGGCGACCGGTCGAGGCTCAGCGGCCGGCCGCAGCCGCTGTTCCGGTGGCTCATGTAGTCCGCCATCGTGAAGCACGTGTCCGCGGGGCCGAGCATCTGCGACGTCCACGTGAGCAGGTCGTGCGTCGACTCGTTGAGCTCGTCCCAGCGGAACGGGTCTCCCGCGCACGCGCCGTCGAGGAAGTAGCGCTCCGCGAGTTCGTCGCCCTCGCACTCGAACGCGCGCCACAGGTCGGGCGGGGCGTACAAGTTCGTCATCCAGCCCGGCAGGGCGCTGAAGACCTTGTAGCACACGCGCGGCTCGTAGGCCCGGTACAAGGCGGGGAGCGCGTCGCACCCGAGGGACCACGCCGTGTAGTCGTAGACGCGCGTCCCGGGGAGCCTCGGGATCGGCCACCACTCCTCGATGCCCACGAGCCGCGACGCGTCCACGCTCGCGCGCGGGAGCACCGCCATGCTGCTTCGCACGTACACGTCCGGCGCCCCCCCGAAGACCCGGTTGGACCACGAGAGCGCCGTCGACTGCACGCACCCGTCGACCGCGTCGTAGAAGAAGGGGTCGTCGGCGAGCGCGGGCGCTCCCTCGCAGTACGGCGCCGCGTACCAGTCCACCAGCCCGTCGCGTCGCACGGCGAGGCTCCCGCGACGGCCGTCGACGCAGTAGCCGATCCGCAGGTACGTCGTCTGGAACAGCGAGGACGCTCGGCAGTCGCTGCTCTCGTATTCGTGGAGCTCGTAGAAGTACTGCTCCTCCTGATCCCAGGGACCGCTCCACTGCCCGTAGCAGGCGTTGCAGGACTCGGGGCACGACGAGAGCCGCTCCTCGACCTCCTTTTGGAAATCGTAGGGAGTCCACCACGCGCGCGCGTAGGTCCAGCAATCCTTCCCAGCCCAGCGTTGAGCGCAGTCCGCGCTCGTGTCCACGCACGAGGACGTCGCATTCGTCAGCTGTCGCGCGGAGGCGCCGCCGCCCGAGCTGCCCGCCGCTGCCATCCCATCCGTCAGCTGTCGCGCAGAGCCGCGAACGCTGCCCGCCGCTGTCATCTCATCCGTCAGCTGTCGCGCAGAGGCTCCGCCGCCAGAGCTGCCCGCAGTGTTGACATCAGCTCTCGCTCTCAGTCATGCGTAAATCTTCAAGGCGTCAGCCCCTCGGGAGTCAAGTTGAAGTGAGTACTTCACCATGATGCTAGCTGCACGCGCAAACGCTGCGCGCGAGGCTGCCCGCGCGGCCGCCACCATGGCCGCCGAGTCGCAGCCCGCGGACGCGAAAGCAAAGCTCGACGAGGCGTCGGCGCTGCACGAGCACGCCTTGAATTACGCCAGGCAGGGCAAGTACGATGCGCGACCGGAGGCACCGCGCGCTCTCGATACAACTCCCGGACGCGCCGCCTCTAAAGACACACGTTCACCACCGTGAGTTACGAAGGAGGGCGCGCGCGGGGACGGAGCGCGGCGGCGGGACCGGGGCCATCTTCTAGGTACTCGCCGGCGTCCAGCGTTGTATGACTATGACGAGAAACTCCTGGTCGAAGGCGACGAGCACTTCGTGGCGCTTCGCGCGGAGTCGAAGGTACCTGCGTCGCGCGCGGCCGTGGGCGTGGGCGAGAGGCGCGCGCGCGGCGGCGTCTGGCGTCGGACGCGGGACCGCCACCGCAGCTCGTTCTTCGGGTTGAGATCCCGGACGACGCCGCGCGCCTTCCTCGAGAGCTGCGACATGAAGTCCGCGTAGATCTCCGCCTGCGCCTGCGTCATCGACGGCAGGCGCCGGAGGACCTGGCCCTGCTTCGAGCAGATGACGTAGCCCTCGACGCCCGCTTGGATTTTCACGCGCTCGAGCGTCTCCTCGACCTCGGACATGGCGGCGACGGACCCGGCGAGGCCCCGGGCGTGCGGCGCGGGACGGCGGCGGCGGCGCGAAGCTGCGGACCGGTTGTATAGCGCGGTTGCGACAAAGGGCGGCCGTATCCCCACGTTTGCCTCGAAGCGCGGTTGGTTGACGCTCCGCGGCGCAGCCCGGCTCGTTGCCCGGCGCCGCCCGCCCGACGCCCGCCGTCGCCGATGGACCCGCCGGAGATGACGGCGACGACCCAGGACCCGGAGATCGCCGGCGCGTCCAACGACTCGGAGCGCATCGAGCGGCTCCGGGCCCAGCGGGCCGCGGACCGCGAGGCGCGGCGGGCCCAGCACCTCATGGCGACGAGCGGCGGGGCGCCCATGGACGCGGCGCAGGCCGCCGCGGAGCGGCCGGACCCGGAGCGCTTCGCCGCCGCGGGCCTCGTGCCCACGGACGAGACCATCCTCCGCGCGCGGCGCGAGTACTACCCGGACGTCGAGGCCGAGTTCCTCAAGGAGGACATCCGCAAGAACAAGGAGCAGATCGCCGGCTGGGAGCAGCGCGCGACGAGCGTCGTCGACATGCTCGCCGAGGCCCAGCGCAAGATCGACGAGGCCATGAACATGGCGGAGCTCGACGACGAGTAAGCTCCCGGGGGCCGCGACGATGTCGGGTCGAGATTAGGGGGCTACATGACGGCGCAGCTCAGGCAGGACTGGTCTCGTCGGTCGCGCTGCATCGACGGTCGCCCGGGCGAGAACGGCTGCGCGAAGACGGGCGGCCTGCGCGCGGCGCGCGGCGTCGGCGCGCGCGCGGCGCCGCGCCGCGGCGCGGTTCCGAGACGTGAAGCGGCCGGAGCGCATGGCGTAGGGGAAGGAGTCGAGGCTCCCGAGCTGGAGCGTCTGCGCGCCGAGGAACTCGAGCGTCGCCTGCGAGCGGGGGGGGCGGCGTCCGCGCGGCCGCGGCCGGGGACGCCGCGGTCGCGACGGTCTGCGCGCGCGTCTCGTCGTTCTCGACGACGCCCTGGAGGTAGGCCTCGAGGGCGCCGCGGCGGGCCTCGATGAAGTCGTCCTTGAAGTTGCCGAAGGTCCGCTTGCCCGGGAGCTTCGGCGGCAGGTCGCCGAGGTGCCGGATGCCGTCGGCGAGCGCGCAAAAGTCCGTGTAGCGCCGGTGCACGACCCAGCGGTGGCCGTCGACCTGGACGAGCACGTCGTAGGACACGAACTTGGCCTTGCTCACCGCCTGGCGCTCGAAGCCGGCGCTCGGCATGGACACCATCAACCCCGGGAGCACGGGCGCGGTGCTCCCGGGCGTGGTGGAGTCGCTGTAGTGCCGTTCTGGCGTGCCAGGAGATCTCCCTGCGGATGAAGCAGCACGCTGCGGGCTCGGCGCGGAGTCGTCGATGCTCACGGCCTTGGGCGGCGGCGACGGCGGGGCAGCCCGCTCGACCTCGAGCGGCATCGCTCCCTATTCGGCCTTCGGAACCTTGCAGTCGTTCATGTTGGTGTTGATGCGCTTATTGAACCCCTCGAGGCCGCGGCGCCCCTCGCGCACTCTAACATATCCCGCCGGCGGGATATGTTAACTCGAGCGGCTCCGCGGCGCGTCCTTTATACGGGTGCTTGCTTATATCCAGGGCGCGCGCCTTGTGCGCGCGAGGCCGGTCGTGGGTGGCGACGCGAGGAGCGCGAGCGCGACGATGATGGAGGAGGCGTGCATGTTGCTGGTTGCTTGCTTGCTGTTTGCGGTTGGTTGGCATCCATGGAATTTTTTTCTTCCACCATGCCACAGGCCGGAAGTCATCCGGAATCCAGTGTTCGACTCGGAAACCCTTTCGAACGAAGCTCGCGGCCTCCGCATGGGTACTCGCAGCGGCCCGTGAGTTACTCCTCAGCTGCCGGCTTCGCGGCGGCGGCGCTTCGGCGGCGATTCGTCGGCAGTCTCCGGCGACTCGTCGCCGTCGGACTGCGTGAGATCGATGGCGGCCGGCTCTGGGAAGTTGCAGGGCCGCCCAAGGGCCCGCGCGCGCTCGTCGTAGGCTCGCGCGGCCTCCTCTTCCGTGTCGAAGGTGCCAAGGTGACGCGAGCTGTGATATGGGCTCTTGCATTGCGCATACCAGCGACCGTTGTGTGTTTGATACACGCCGACGTACTGGCTGGATCCGCCCTCGCGCGACGATTCGTCGCCTTCGCTCTCAGAGTTGTCGTCGTCGTTCTCGTCCGCCGCAGGTTCCGCGTCGTCGCGCGCCGTCTCGGCCACCGCCGCGGCCGGCGCCGCGACGCGGCGCGCCGGCGGCGCGTAGCGCGTGCCGAGGACCGCGGCGCCGTCGCGGTACCAGTGCGTGCTCCGATCGCAGATCAACGCCAGCGGCACGGTCTCCGTCGTCGGCGGCCCGTCGGCGCTCTCCAGGAAGACGAGGACCGCCGCGTCGCCGTCGACCTCGTGGACCTGGGCCGGATACACGGAGCGGTACGCCGCGTGGATCTCCGACGAGCCGGGCCCCTTCGGGTAGCGCGCGGTCACGATGGCGCCCTTGACGAGTTTCGGCGGCGGCCGGGCCGCGCCGAGGGACAGGAGGTCGCGGAGGTAGAAGCGGAGCACGACGCTCGCGCGCGGCCCCCTGAACTCGACGGCGTGCGTCGCGAAGGCGCGCGACGCGCCCGAGAGGACGTAGAGGGAGTTCGCGGGCACGTCGAAGGTCGCGGCGCACTTGGGCGCGCGGCCGCGGACCTGCGCGTCCGGCTTCAACGTGAGCGAGCAGCGCGCGGTCGTGAACGTGCAGATGACGTCGCCCCAGCCGGGCCGGTCGACGTGGCCGCGGATCTCGTCGGCGCCGGACGAGTCGTTGATCTGCACCCAGCCCACGCGGTAGTGGCGCGCCAGCTCCGGCAGGGCCTCGTGGACGCCCGCGAGCAGGCGGCCGACGCACGCCGGCGGCGCGCCGTGGCGGCCGAGGCGCGTCGAGCCGTCGGAGCTGCGCTGCTCGCGGTCGAGGAGGGACTGCGGCAGGTCGGCGTCGCGGAACTGAAACATCTTCGTGAGCTGATGCTTCGTCGACCCGAAGCGCTCGCACACGCCATTGACGCGCGCATCTTTGAGGAAGGTTTCCACGTCGCGCGCGATCGCCGCGCCCGCGGCGACGTCGGCGAACTGCACGCCGTCGAACGGGTTGATCTTGCGGAGCATGGCGCGCGTCGGAGCGCGCAGGGCGCATCCAGCCTCGTTTACAAAAGCTTGCCTCCAGCCTCGTTTACAAAAGCTTGCCGCCCATGCCCAAGACTCTGGCAAAAGGTCAAACCATTTCGTTGAACGCGTCGAGCAGCCCCATCGGCGGCGCTCGAACGCGGCGGCAGCCTCGCGCACCGTCGAGCGCCGCGGCAGCCTCGCGCGCCGCCATGGGCACGCCGCTCTACGTGGGCAAGGCCCTGCCCGACGGCGAGGTCGGGCACCTCCTCGGGTGCGGCAACCCGATCCTGGACATCAGCGCCATGGTCGACAAGGACATGCTGGACAAGTACGAGCTCGAGAACGGGGCCGTGATTCTCGCCGAGGAGCGCCACATGCCGGTCTACGCCGAGCTCCAGGAGAAGTACGAGGTGGAGTACATCGCCGGCGGCGCGACGCAGAACACGATCCGCGTCGCCGCGTGGATGCTCAGCGGGCGGAAGAAACGCCCGGAATGCGCGTACGTCGGCTGCGTGGGCAACGACGAGTACGGGCGCAAGCTCGCGGCGACGTGCGCCGCCGGCGGCGTGCACACGAACTACCAGATCGACGAGGAGACGCCGACGGGCACCTGCGCCGTGCTCATCTCGCGCGCGGACGGCGAGCGGCGGCGCGGGAAAAGCGCGCGACGCGCCCGACTTCAAAGGCTCCGCTCTCGGCCGTTTTCCACTCGTTTCGGCTGATGTTTCGACGAGCGATCTTCTCTCGGCACGGTCTCGGAGCGTGGATGCGTTTCTTGGAACGCGCGCGCGCGAAACGCCCCGATTGAAGCGACGTTGCATCACCCGCCCGCCCCCAGGCGAGCGGACGCTCGTCGCGAACCTGGCCGCGGCGAACAACTACCGGCGGGAGCACCTCTTCCACGACCGCACGGTGGAGATGATCCGCGGCGCGGGCATCGTCTACGCCGCGGGCTTCTTCCTCACGAGCGGCGGCGTCGAGTGCATCGAGCACCTCGGCGAGCACGTCCACGCGGCGGCGACGGCGGGCAACCCGAAGCGGTTCTGCATGAACCTGAGCGCGCCCTTCATCTGCGAGTTCTTCACGGACCAGCTCGACGCGGCCATGCCCTACGTCGACGTCCTCTTCGGCAACGAGACGGAGTGCATGGCGCTCGGCCGCGCGAAGCGCCTCGGCGACGACATCGCGCTCGTCGCGCTCGCGATCGCGGCGATGCCCAAGAAGAGCGGCGCGCGGGGCCGCGTCGTCGTCATCACCCAGGGCGCGGACCCGACCCTCGTCGTCGAGAACGGCGTCCTCCACCGCTACGCCGTGTCGCCCCTCGCGAAGCAGTCCATCGTCGACCTCAACGGCGCGGGCGACGCGTTCGTCGGCGGCTTCCTCTCCCAGCTCCTCCTCGGCAAGGGCGTCGCCGACGCCGTCCACGCGGGCCACTGGGCCGGGCGCGTCATCATCCAGCGCTCGGGCTGCTCCGTCCCCGAGAGGTGCGACTTCGCCTGAGGCGTAAGGAAGGCGACAGACCCCCGGCGCTTTCCGCCCTGCCACAACAGAGCCGATCGATTGAGGCTCCGATCCGCCGCTCTCGCCGCAGCCGGCCGCAACAGCTCGCCGCGAGCGCTGCCGGGCGCGGAGCCCGAGGCGCGACGCGGGCTCTGCGAGGGCCTCGCCACGCTCGGCGCGGTACGAACCACGGCCGCGCGCCGCTCGGCGCGGTAGGCACCCATGCTGCGCCTCGGCCGCTACGCCATGCCCGGCGCGGCGGCCGTCGTGGCGCACCTCTCGCTGCCGCGACGGCGGCCGCGCTGCGAGGCCGCCGGCGCGCCCGTCGCCGCCGCGGCCGAGCCGCTGCCCGTGGGCGCCAAGGTCGAGGGCAAGGTCCGCAAGGAGCGGCCCGAGTACTTTGACCCGATCGTGCCGTACCCGGAGTGGGACGGCAACTGGGACGGGCGGCTGCACCTGCGGCAGAAGAGCAAGGACGGGCCGCCGGCGCCGACGCGGCACATCATCCTCGTGCGCCACGGCCAGTACGACGAGTCGTCGAAGGACGACGAGCGGCGCGTGCTCACGGGTTTGGGCCGCGACCAGGCCGTGGCGACGGGCCACAAGCTGCGGGCCGTGCTCGACGCGTCCGGGTCCCCGGACACGGAGATCCGCATCCGGTCGTCGACGCTCACGCGCGCCAAGGAGACGGCCGCGCTCATGATGCCGCACCTGCCGGATCGGACCGAGCACCTCGGCTGCGATCCGAACCTGAACGAGGGCCGGCCGGCGCAGGTCATCCCGGGCAAGGCCTACTCCAACGCCGTCGTGCGCGCCGACAACGACCGCATCGAGGAGGCCTTCCGGTCCGTGTTCTACCGGTCCGGGCCCCGCGAGGACGGCGCGCTGCACGAGTACGAGATCGTCGTCTGCCACGGCAACGTCATCCGCTACTTCGCGCTGCGGGCGCTCCAGCTCCCGCCGGAGGCCTGGCTCCGGCTCTGCACCTTTAACTGCTCCGTCACCTACCTCGTCGTCCGCCCCTCGGGCTCCGTGTCCCTCCGCGCGCTCGGCGACATCGGCCACCTCCCGCCGGAGCTCACGACCTTCTCCATGCACCACGGCCTCGAGTGGTGAGGCCCCGAGCCCTCGGACCCGCGCCCTAACTGTGTATTTCGACGTCGCGCGGACCCGAGTGAGTGGTCGGTCGGCGATGTTGAAGCAGACCTTGAAGCCTCGCTGAAGCAGGAGGCTAGGCCATGGCCACCTCCCCTGCGCCGCAGCGCTGCGCCCTCGTGACGACGCTGCTGCTGCCGGCGGGCGGCGCGTCCGTGGTCGTGAGCTTCGTGCGGTGGCACCTGCACGTGGGCTTCGAGCGCATCTACCTCTACTTCGACGAGGCCGTGGACGACCCCGTGGGCTGGGCCGAGCTCACGGCGGCCTTCGGCGCCGACGATGCGCGGCTCGTGCGGGCGCGGCGGAGTCCCGAGCTCCTGGACGCGCAGCGCGCGACCTGCGCCTGCTGGCGCAAGTTCGGCGCCTTCGCGGGCGACGAGGTCCAGGCGCGGCAGGCGCTGAACGCGGAGCACGCGGCCGGCGCCGCGCGCGCCGCGGGCCTCCGCTGGCTCGCGCACCTCGACGTCGACGAGCTCTTCCACGCGGCGTCGCCCGGGGCCTTCGCGGCCCACTTCGCGGCCCTCGACGCCGGCGGCGTCGGCCACTGCACGTACGCGAACCACGAGGGCGTCGCCGAGCGCCGCGACGTCCGCGACTACTTTGCGGAGGTGACGCTCTTCAAGACGAACCACCACCTCGTGCCCCTCCGCGCGGACGCCGTCGAGGCCATGCGCTGGTGGCGCCGCAGGAGCGGCCGGGGCCAGTACCTCCTCTGCTACGACAACGGCAAGTCCGCGGTGCGGCTCGTCGACGGCGTGTCGCCGACGTCCGTCCACGCCTGGGCGCTGCCCGCGGGCTGCGGGCTGACGCGGCGCACGGCCCTCGCCGACGCGCGCCACCTGCGGGTCGGCGACGTCGCCGCGGACGCGGCGACGATGCCGTGCGTGCTCCACTACGTGACGTGCGGCGAGTTCTGGCTCCGGACCAAGTACGAGATCCTCGGCGACTTTGGCGACGCCTGGTTCGGCGGCGACCTGCCCATCGCGCCGTCCTACCACCTCGACGCCCGCGACGTCGTGCGGCGGCGCGACGCGGGCGCGCTGCGCGCGTTCTACGCGGCGCACCTCGACGTGCCGGACCCCCAGACGCTCGCGCGCCACGTCGCGTCGGGCGCGCTCCGCCGCGTCGAGGGCCCCCGGGCGCTGCTGCGACCGGACGCGCGGCCGCCGCCGCCGCCGCCGGCCGCGGCCGCGGCCGCGCCGGCCGCGGCGCCGCCGGCCGTCGACGTCGCGGCCGAGAAGGCGTTCCTCCTGAGCGCCGCCGCGGCAGGGCAGGCTGAGGATCCCCCGGGCCGCGTCGCGATGAGGACCTTGAAGGCGAGCGCGGGCCGCGTCTTGCCCTTGGACGAGAGGAAGTCGGCCTGCGCGCGGAGGAACTTCGTCGAGAGGAACGCGTCCGCGAGGTCCCGCGACTCGCGCTCGTTGACGGCCTTGAGCGCCGCCGTGTCCGCGAAGCCGCGGTGGGCCTTGGCGTAGGCGGGATCCGCGAGCCAGCCCCGGACGACCGCGTCCGCCGCGTCCAGCAGCTCGTCGTGCGGCACGCAGCGATCCACGAGCCCCGCCGCCGCCGCCTCGGCGCCCGTCGGCGCCCAGCCCTCGTCGCCGAGCATGCGCGCCGCGTGCTCGGCGCCCATGAGGTACTCGAAGTGCACCGACGAGCAGCCCTCGGGCGTCACGCCCAGTCGCGCGAACGGCGTCGAGAACGTCGCGCGCTCGGACGCGACGACGCCGTCGGCGAGCGTCGCCGTCGTCACGGCCGCGCCGATGTTCGGCCCGTTGACGGCGACGCAGAGCGGCTTCGGGAAGTCGAGGAACGTGTCGAAGACCTTCTTGTTCGACCGATAGATCATTTCGTGCAAGGCCGCGGGCATCATGGGCGTGAGTGACGACGCGAGGTCGACGCCGGCGCAGTAGTAGTCCCCCGCGCCCGTGAGGATGACGGCCTTGACCGCGTCGTCCTGCGCGGCGTCGACGAACTGCGTGTGGACGCTGAGGAGCATGGCCTGATTCCACCCATTGTATTTGCTGGGGTTGTTGAGCGTCACCGTGCGCACGCCGTCGCGGTCGGAGGCGAGGGTGAGCGGTTCCTTGGTCGTTGAGAGGCGGCGGAGGGCGGCGGGGCGGCGCCCGAGGCTTGTTGCTGCGGCGCGGAGCATGCTTGTATTTCCGCCGGGCTGTATTTCTGCCACACAGGAAGAGTTCCGAGGGGGTTGACCGCCGGTATGCCTGCAGTGCCCCGATCAACGTACATCTAGGTGCACCCGTACGAAATATTAATAAAGATCAATCATCGAATTCCGGCCGGCGGAGCCAGAGTCATTAGTCGTCCATAGAGGCTGTACGTCGACCGCGCGCGCGGGCGCGGTGTCGCGGCGGTCCGCGGGCTGAAATCACGGCCAAAATTGGGTTATGGTCGTATCAAAGCAAGTTTGATGATATTCGCGCGTTAATTGCACGTTTGCGATGGCTTTTTGCGCGCGGTCGCTGGTTCGGGTCGCGAAATCGCAAGATTTAACTTCAACAAAAGTGCTGAAGTTCAATAAAAATGTTGACTTTTAAATCCAGGCTATCAGAATCTGAGTTTTGATCGGTGCACTGTATGCCTGGTAGTATGCGCCCGCTATGCGGGCTTTATGCGGGCTTTATGCGGGTGTTATGCGGGTGGTATGCGGGTGGTATGCGGGTGGTATGCGGGTGGTATGCTGGTGGTATGCGGGTGGTATGCGGGTGGTATGCGTCTGCTATGCCGGTGGTATGCGTCTGCTATGCCGGTGGTATGCGGCTGCTATGCTGGTGGTATGCGCCTGCTATGCTGGTGGTATGCTGGTGGGCTGCTATGCTGGTCTTATGCGCCTGCTATGCTGGTGGTATGCGGCTGCTATGCTGGTCTTATGCGCCTGCTATGCTGGTGGTATGCGCCTGCTATGCGCCTGCTATGCGCCTGCTATGCGCCTGCTATGCGCCCGCTATGCGCCCGCTATGCGCCCGCTATGCGTCTGCTATGCGGCTGCTATGCGGCTGCTATGCTGGTGTATGCCGTGGCTGGTGTATGCCTGGTGGTCGGCCCCCTCTGGAAGAGTTCAAGTACGCCTTCAACCAGTCGCTAAAGCTCGCTTCACGCGCGGAGCTTCGGCGGCGCAGTGCAGGACGCGTCGTAGGGGAGGTAGTCCGCGTCGTCGAGCCATGCGCGGAGGAACTCGAGCGCCGCGGCGGGCTTGAACTGGGGCACCATGTGGCCAGAGCCGCGGATCGTGAGGAAGTCGAAGTGCTGCTCGTAGCGCGTCACGTAGCCGCCCATGCGCTTGCAGCCGTCGAGCGTCCAGGGCCGCCAGGTCTGCGTCGTCGCGTAGCCGAGGCGCGCCGTCCAGTCCTGGGCGACGAAGGAGTTGATGCCCGGGTCCGCGTCGCCGTTGTAGACGAGGCTCCGCAAACCCGCGGCCGCCGCGCGCCGGTAGATGGGCAGGACGTTCGCCTCCGTCGAGCTGTAGTTCATGCCGACGCCGTTGTCGCCGTTGAAGAAGTTCGCGGCGCGGGGCACGTGGAGCGCGTCGCGCACGGACGACGCGTTGACCCAGAGCGTCTGCGCGTCGCCGCCGCCGCAGTAGTAGTCGTTGACCGCGCCGCCGAGCGCCGGCGCCGCGTCGAGGCGCCGCCGAAGCCCTTCTTGGTAGATGCAGTCGTCGTAGAGGTCGTACTCGAAGTAGCCGCCGACTTGCGTGTCGATCTCGTCGAGCAGGAGCTGGCAGCCCGGCGGCGCCGCGCCGCCCCGGCGCAGGTAGGCCATGCCGCACGTGTCCATGATGTCATCAAAGAGCAGGTTCGACACCTGGCCGTGGCCGTAGAAGAAGATGACCTTGTACCAGGGCACGTGAACTGGCCCGCAGAGCACCTCCGTGCCCGCGCAGCCGTCGCCGACGGCGAAGCCCTTGAGCTGCGGGCGCACCGTCGGCGCGTCGTCGTCGAGGATCCTCTCGACGAGCTTCGGGACGTAGATGCCTACGACGTTCGGTTCATGTCCCCCCGCCATCTCTCGAAATGGACGCCGGTAGCGATGCCCGCATAGCTTTCTCCCGTCAGGTACAGGTCGTTGCCGCGGCGCTCGGGGAAGAGGTCGAACCAGCCCTTGAGCGCCGCGTAGGACGCCCGCGCCATGCGCTCGTCGTCCCAGTCGCCGCACGCGTTCCCGTCGCCCGCCGGGTCGTCGCCGCACTGGCTGAAGCCGACGGGCGGCGGCCAGTCGAACATGAGCACGCTGCCGAGCTGCGTCCAGCCGTACTCGTTGTAGAAGAGGCTCGGCACGCCCGTCTTCTCGAAGGCCGCCGTCCGCGTGGACCGCTCGTCGAGCACGAGCGGCCCGAGCTCGACGAAGACGCCGAACATCGACGACGCGCCGGGGCCGCCGTTCGTCCACAGGATGGTCGGGTCCTTGGCCGGGTCGCCCTCGCTCTCGTGGTAGAGGTAGTGGACCTTCATGTCCATGCCCATGGCGGCGGAGACGTCGACGAAACCGCTGTAGACCTTGCTCGGCAGCGGCTTGTCCCAGCCGGGCAGCTTGGGGACGGCGTCTGACGCCGGGGCGGCGAACGCATAGCAGGGCAGCAGCGCGAGCACGAACGCACGGTCCATTTCTTTCGCGGCGAACGCATAGCAGGGCAGCAGCGCGAGCACGAACGCACGGTCCATTTCTTCGCGGCGCGGCTGGCAGGCTGATATTGGTGCCAATACAGCTTCAATTCAGCGATTTTACCACAGCTCGAGCTCGCGCGCAATGGGCCTCGCCTCGCGCCGCCGCCTGCGCCGGCAGCGCACCGCGCGCACGGCCATGCGTCGCAGCATCAAGCTCCAGGAGCTCGCCACGTTCCCGCCCTTCGTCGGCGTCTACGACGACGCCCTGCCGCCGGCCATGCTGGAGCGCCTCGCGGGCGAGGCGCGCGCGCTCTGGGCGAAGAGCGGCGGCGCGCGCACGTCCGCGAAGTCCTACTGGGTCGACGCCGCCGGCCCGCCGCCGCGGAGCGCGCTCGGCGCGCTCGCGCGCGCGGTCATCGACGCGCACTTCGGCGGCGCCGCGCGCGCGGCCGTCGCGGGCGCCGAGGTCTGGGCGCAGCGGCGGTCGGGCCGCGGCGAGAAGGGGCTCGAGTTCCACTTCGACAAGGACGAGCGGGCCCTGGACGCCGACGAGGACGACTGGCGCCACCCGGCGCTCGCGACCGCGACGTACCTCGCGCCCGCCGGCGCGCCGTTGGTCGTCTTCGACACGGGGTCCGCCGCCGGGCCGCCGCGGCGCTCGCCGGAGCGCGCCTGGGTCGTCGCGCCGCGGGCCGCGCGCCACGTCGCCTTCGCCGGCGACCGGCTCCACGGCGTGCCGGACGAGATCGCGACGGCCGCGGAGACGCGCGGCGAGCGCCTGTCGGTGCTCGTGAACGTGTGGACGTCGCGGCCGCGCGGCCTCGCGGACCTGGGCCACGACGACGACGCGGGCGAGTACGCCTGGCTCCACCTCGCAACGGGCCGCGACAACCGGGCCTTCCTCCCCCTCGCGCGCGTCGCGCCCGGCGCGGACGGCCTCCACGAGCTCGCGGAGCATCGCCCGGGCGACACGGGGCCCATCCCCCTCGCCGCCTGGCGCGCCGCCGCCGCCGCGCCCGCCGCCGCGCTCGAGCTCCGCTACGTGGGGGAGTCGTAGTACGGGGTCGGGGAGTCGACGGGGAGTCGGAGTGCGAGTCCCGCCGCTTTCGCTGAGGCAACACAGCTTCACACAAATACGGAAAGCCGCGCGGGAGAGCAAAAATGCAGGCCATGCGCCATGCGCGGATCGCAATGCAGTCCGCACGGAGACCGTTCGCGCCGCACGCGAAAAAGCTCTCCGCGGTCCCGAAGCCCGGCCCGCCGCCCTTCGTGTACCGGGACCTCTTCGAGCAGACGGAGCCCGTCGACGTGCCCTACCGCAAGCTCGAGGGCTCCGAGGCCTGGGTCAGCGAGGTGGCGGGCCCCCTGGGCCGGAGCTACGTCCACGTCGCGCCGGAGGCGCTGACGGCGCTGACCAAGGCCGCGATGACGGACGTTGCGCACCTGCTCCGGCCAGGGCACCTCCGGCAGCTCGCGTCGATCCTCGACGACCCCGACGCGTCGTCGAACGACCGCTTCGTGGCGCTGGAGCTGCTCAAGAACGCCAACGTCGCCGCGGGCATGGTCCTGCCGGGGTGCCAGGACACGGGCACGGGCATCGTCATGGGCAAGCGCGGCGCGCTCGTGTTGACGGACGGCGACGACGCCGCGCGCCTCGCGCGGGGCGTCTACGAGACCTACGTCGAGCGGAACCTGCGCTACAGCCAGGTCGCGCCCATGGACATGTTCGCGGAGAAGAACACGGGCTCGAACCTGCCCGCGCAGATCGACCTCTACGCCGCCGAGGGCGACGAGTACCACTTCCTCTTCGTCGCCAAGGGCGGCGGGTCGGCGAACAAGACCTTCCTCTTCCAGCAGACCAAGGCGCTGCTGAACGAGGCGTCCCTGCTGGCCTTCGTCGAGGAGAAGATCAAGGGCCTGGGGACCGCGGCGTGCCCGCCGTACCACCTCGCGCTCGTCGTCGGCGGCCTGTCGGCGGAGATGACGCTCAAGACCGTCAAGCTCGCGTCGACGAAGTATTTGGACGGCCTGCCGCGGTCCGGCGACGCGAACGGCCGCGCGTTCCGCGACGAGGCCTGGGAGGCCAAGGTGCTCCAGCTCACGCGCGACCTCGGCGTCGGCGCGCAGTTCGGCGGCAAGTACTTCTGCCACGACGTGCGCGTCGTGCGGCTGCCGCGCCACGGCGCGTCGTGCCCCGTGGGGCTCGGCGTGTCCTGCTCCGCGGACCGGCAGGTCCGCGGCAAGGTCACGCGCGACGGCGTCTTCCTCGAGGCGCTCGAGCGGGACCCCGCGCGGTTCCTGCCCGAGGCGTCCGTCGACGGCGACGGCGGCCTCAGCGAGGCGGTCGTCGCCGTCGACCTCGAGCGGCCCATGGACGACATCCGCGCGCAGCTCTCGCAGTACCCCGTCGCGACGCGGCTCTCGCTCACGGGCACGATCGTCGTCGCGCGCGACATCGCCCACGCGAAGATCCAGGAGCGGCTCGACGCCGGCGAGCCCATGCCCCAGTACCTGCGGGACCGCATCGTCTACTACGCGGGGCCCGCGAAGACGCCCGACGGCCACGCGTCCGGCAGCTTCGGCCCGACGACGGCGGGCCGCATGGACTCCTACGTCGGCCCCTTCATGGAGGCCGGCGGGTCCTTCGTCTCCCTGGCCAAGGGCAACCGGTCGAAGCAGGTCACGGACGCCTGCAAGCGCTACGGCGGCTTCTACCTCGGGAGCATCGGGGGGCCCGCGGCGATCCTCGCGCAGAACTGCATCCGCAACGTCGAGGTCCTCGAGTACCCGGAGCTGGGCATGGAGGCCGTCTGGAAGATCGACGTCGAGAACTTCCCCGCCTTCATCGTCGTCAACGACAAGGGCGACGACTTCTTCAAGAAGTGGCTCGGCTGACCCGGCCGGCGGGGCCTCGCGCGGGCGCCGCAAGCGCGCCACCTTGTACACGTTAAAATCCGATGATCCAGCTGAAGGCACGGGAACGATCGTCGGTCGAAACCTGATGATCCAGCTGAAGGCACGCGAATGAGTTAAGAAATGTATTGTTGAACTTTGAAGTCGACGTTTGTCCAACCGGGCGGTTTCTTGGGCGACGCCGATTGGTTCGACAAGCAGCCCAGCTTCGGTGCCAGCGACAGCAGCGTGTCGAGTGCAGCCCCCGCGCCGCAAGGAACACCATGTCTAAGGGCACGGGCGGCGCTTCATGCACACGGAAAAGGTGGGCGTGAAGGGGTCGACGACGCCCGCGGCGACCATCTGTTCGGCGATCGCGCACGCCGCCAGCGGCTGCAGCGCGTCCGCGAGCCAGCGGCCGGCGCGCGCCTTCTTGCTCTTGGACTTGTCGACGAAGGCCCGCACTTCGTCCTCGTCGATGCCGTAGAGCGCCGCGAGGCGCTCCGGCGTGGAGTAGTACTCCGTCGGCACCGAGACCGAGAAGCCCTTGCGCACGGCATCCTCCGCGAGGTGGCCCTCGCGGCAGAGCAGCTCGAGGTCCTTGGGGTGCTTGACCATGGTGACGCTCGAGCTGCAGGACCTCCTCAGGTTCGGCAGCATGCCTTCGCGCAGGTCGAATGGAAATTTCCAAACCCGACTTTCAATCTACGCCTCTTCGTTTTCGACGCGACGTCTCCGGCTGTGTGCTTCGACGAGAGCAATCGATTCGTCTAAAAATCGGCCGAATCGACTTTCACGAGAAGTACGACAACGACGCGTCGCCCGAGGCCTTCCACTGCGTCGAGTGGAAGACCGTGACGCGCGGCCACAGCCAGCCCTTCATGGTGCCCGACAAGATCGTCTACGAGGACGAGTGCGACCTGAAGTCGCCCGCGCTCCACGCGGAGTTCGACGCGCGCGAGAAGCTCCGCCAGACGGGCTTCGAGGTCAAGGTCGTCAAGCTCGCGGTGCCGATGGGCGCCGAGCCCCTCGTCCCGTCGACGCACACGACGACCTTCGGCAAGACCCAGGAGGCGCTCGTCACGAAGCTCCGCAAGGACATCCTCGCCGAGGCCGACGAGCGCTTCCGCGCGCTCCAGACCCGCACGCTCCCGCTGACGTGAGCTACAAGCCCAGACGAGGAGCACTGATGTAAGGGCCGACGCCTGAGGGCGCCGACCTTCCTCGCGCTCGCACCTTCAACCCGGTGCTTGCGGCTACACCAGCAGCTCCGCGCTACCGACGTCTTCGGACATCGCCCACGGCGCCATCACCGGCGCCACAAGAAGCCCACAAGCCAAGAAGCACTCCGACGAGCTCAATCCCCGCCGGCGCCACGCGACGATCCCGACGGTCCATCGCCCGGCGCCGCCGCTCCCTCCCCCCGAGCTGGCCGCCGCTTGAAGTGCAGTAAAATACATTCGTTCTCACGCGACGGTTCATTTGGCGCGTGGAATTCGACGGGTGCGCCACCATGGCCCCCGCCGCCGGAGCCCTCCACCCGCTCTCAGCCATGCAGCTTCATCGAACGAACAAGACTAGTCGCTCACGCGACGGCCGCGGGCCTGGGCGGGGCGTCGTGGAAGGGCGCGTCGGCGAGGTCCGGGTCCGCGACGGCCGCGTCCTGGCCCTTGCCGAAGCACATGACGTCGAGGCACCGCCGGTCGTCGGACAGGAGGCCCGCGTGGAACGCGGCGAGCTCGTCCCGCGTCACGGCGCGGACGCGCGCGGCCACGCGGTCCGCGCGGTCGAAGAGGGGCCCCTCGGGCGCCGGGTGGTCGACCTCGCCCCAGAAGCGCGACGCCTCGCGGTACATGGAGTCGTCGGGCTCCGTCCACTTCGTCGCCAGCGCGTCCTTCGCCCGCTCGAGGTCGACGGACGCGACGTCGAAGCTCCGCACGAACGCGTCGAAGCGGTCGCGGAGCGCCGGCGGGTCCGCGGTCTTCGACTGCACCGTGAGCACGACGTGGAGGCGGCCGCGCGTGGACGCGTAGCGCGCGGAGACGAGGTAGCCGAGCTGCTCGCCTGTGTGGAAATCAACCACTGGTTTGGGGGGTCCCCACCAAACTTCAGAACTCTCTATCTCGGGCAAATCGAAGTCGATTCGGCTGATTTTTGGACGGATCGATTGCTCTCGTCGAGTTCTCGAAGCACAGCAGAAAGCCTTGCGTCGAAACGGTCGCATACGCGCACATTGAAGTCGGGTTGAATATTTGATTTCCACACAGCTGCTCGCGCGTCCGGAGCTGCGTGAAGAAGGGCTCCTTGAAGACGTGGACGAAGAGCGACGTCGCCGCGTGGACGGCGAGGTCGTCGCGCGACCCGACGTCGTAGCTGCGCTGGAGCGCCGCGTTCTCGTCGGCCGCCGCGTTCGGCGACGGCCGCGCCACGAGCGTCGAGCCCCTGGGAATCAGCCGCACGCGCGGCGGCGCGGGCCAGGCGGCGTCGCCGGAGATCGGCAGCCGGTCGCGGACCGCCCTCGCGAAGCCGCGCGCGTCGGCCTCGTCGACGGCGCCGTGCGCGTGGACGAGGACGCGCGCGCCGGCGAGCGCGCGCCGCGCGTGCGCGGCGACGTCCTCGAGCGTCGCCGCGTCGACGGCGCCGCGGAGGTCCGCGAGCGCCGGCGTCCGCTCCTGGAGCAGCTCGCGCTTCCACCGCGCGGCGTGCGCGTCCGCGCGGCCCTTGTCGAGGTTCCGCAGGTGCCGCGCGAGCTTCTCCCGGCAGCGGTCGAACGCGCCCGCGTCGGCGACGACGTCCGCGAGGCCCTCGAGCGCGGCGTCGAGCAGCCGCCGCAGGCCGTCGCCGGCGAGGCCCGACACGTCGACGTCGACGCAGCCCTTGGCCCAGGCGGCGCCGACGTCGTAGCCCAGGCCGCTGCACGTCGCGTCGTAGAGCGGCCGCTCGAGCGCCTGGGCGGCAAAAGGGTGATTCAACGTCGCTTCAACGTGAGTGTTCCGCGCGCGCGCGTTCCGATAAAAGCATCTACGCTTCGAGACCGTTCCGAGAGATGATCGCTCGTCCAAGAATGAGCCAAAACGAGTGAAAAACGGCCGAGATAGGAGCCTTTGAAGTTGGGCATGTCGCTCTCTTGTGCTGCCCTGTCGAGCGCCTCGAGGACGACGCGCGTCCAGAGCTGCGTCCGCGCCCAGCTGGCCGCGCCGCCGGCGCCGCCGAGGAACGGCGACGCGACGCGCACGGTCACGTAGGCCTTGGGCTGGCCGAAGATCGCGTCCGTCTTCCACCAGCACGCGAGGCCGCCGTCTGCGAAGCACGCCGGCGGCCGCGCGGACGCCGCCCGGCGGCCCGCGTCGTCCGCGAACGCGAAGATCTCGTTCTTGAGGCGCGCCGGGTCCGGCAGGAACGGGTTCGGCGCGGGCGCGCCGAGGTCCGCCGGGTCGACGGCGCGGCCGCGGGCGACGGCCGCGCGCAGCGCGGCGAGCTCGCGGTCGGGCACGTCGCGCCGCGCGTGCTCGACGCCGTACCACCGCTCCGTCGCCAGGTCGGAGAAGCCGGGCCCGCGCCCCGCGTCCTTGGTGGCGACGTGGACGACGATGCGCGACGGGTCGCGGAGCGCGTCCAGGAGCGTCGCGACGAGCGCGGCGCGCGGCGGGCTCCAGCCGTCGCCGCGCGCGGCCGCGAGGCCCGTCCGGCCGCCGACGAGCGCGTCCGCGGGCGCGTGGTCCTGGAGCGACCGCGCGAGCGACGGCGCGAGGCCGTAGGCGCTCGCCTTGGAGTACATGAAGTCGAAGCGCGCGCCGGAGACGACGGCGAGCTCGCGCCAGAGCCGCCGCGGCGTCACCGCGTCCTCGCAGTCGCGCGCGAGCGCGCCGACGGCCTCGAAGATGCGCGGGAGCACGTCGCTGTAGCGCCGCGCCTCGCCCCGGGGCGTCAGGTCCACGCTCAGCGAGAAGCAGGCCGCGTCCTTGAGGGACGGCGCGACGGCCGTCGACAGGCCGTGCGCGAGGCCCTCGCGCTTGAGCGACGCGAGCAGCGAGTTCGGGCCCTCGTGGCCCAGCGCGTGCGTGACGACGCGCTCGCCGCCGTTCCAGTAGGCCTCGCGCAGCCCAAAGTCGAGGGGCCAGATGACGCGCAGCGACCGGAGGTCCCGCACGGGCCGGCGCTCGTGGACGCGCGCGATCGGCGGGAAGAGCGGCGCGGCCTCCGGCGCCGCCTCGAAGGCGCCGCGCTTCGCCATGGCGCCAAAGGTCGCGAGGCACAGCTCCTCCAGGTCCTCGAGGCTCCGCGGGCCCACGAGGCACGCCGTCGCGATGGCCGGGTCGTAGCGGTCGCGCCAGAACTCGAGGAGCGCGTCGCGGACGCCGTCGAAGCGCAGCGTCTCCAGGCACCCCGTCGAGAAGTTGGAGAACGAGTGGGCCGGCGACGCGGACAGCCGGAGCACCTGGTAGGCGCGGCGGCCGTCGTCCTGCAGGTTCTTCGAGTGCTCGGCGTCGACGGCGTGCATCTCGCGGTCGACGCACGACTCCGCGAGCAGCGGCTCGGAGAAGAAGCGCCCGAAGCGGTCCAGCGCGCCCTCGAAGGCGCCGTCGACGACGTCGAACTGGAACGTCGTGAGCTCGCCCGACGTCGACGCGTTCGTGCTCCCGCCGTGCGTCGCGACGTACTCCTTGTACGCGTTGTCCGCCGGGTACGTCGCCGTGCCCTGGAAGAGCATGTGCTCGAGGAAGTGCGCGAGCCCCGCGCGGTCCTTGCGGTCCGCGTAGGCGCCGACGCCGACGGAGAGCGCCGCCGCCGCCTTCTCGCCCGCGGGGTCGCTCACGAGCGCGCACGTGACGCCGTTGGCGAGGCGCACGACGCGGTAGGACCGGTCGTCCGACGCCGACGACCGGGGCGCGCAGAGCCGCTCCAGGCCCGGCGGCGGCGCGCGCGCGACCGTGGCGTCCGCGGCGCGCGGGCAGCTCGACCCGATGAAGTCCGTCGTGCTGTGCGCGTCGCCGCAGTCGACGCAGCACGGCGGCTCGTTGGCCCAGCCGCCGCCGGGCACGCTGAAGTTCGCCATGACGGGCGCGACGCGACGCGCGCGCGCGACGCGTGCGAACACGCGAAGAATCGCAGCCGTGCGACTCGCAGCGGTGCGTGTGTGGAGGAGACTGTGTGTGTGTGTCCACTCTTGCCGAGACGCGCTGGTCCCTGCGCCCCAAGACCAAGAAGTCAGGCCCTAGGACTATGCCGCCTCGCGTCCATCATGGACTCTTAAGGAAGCCATGGCGTCTCTAAGAGTGCGAATGCTGGGGTCGCATGAAGTTCAAGGTGCACAGTTCAAGCATTACGTTGAGACTAATTTTGCACAGACACCTCCGCGGGCAGCTGTGGTTCGGGAGGTACTTCCGGTGCCGCGGCCGGAGCAGGCGCCGTACTCGCGTCCGCGTCCGCCGGCGACACCGCGGCCTCCTCCGAGGCCGCCTCCTCCGAGGCCGCCGCCGCCGCCGCTTCGGCCTCCGCCTGCGCCTCGGCCGCTTCCGCCTCCGCCGCGAGCCGCGCGGCTCGCGCGCGTAGGACCTCGGCCCTGGCGGCCTTGGCCCTGGCGACCTCCGCGAGGCTCGCGGCCTCGTCGACGGGGTCGTCGTCGGAGTCGACGTCGGACCAGCGGTCCGTCTCCTCCGGCGGCGGCGGCGCCGGCAGCGCCGGGAGCGCCGCCTCCTCCGGCGCCTCCTCGAGCAGGCCCGCCTGCGCGGCGCCGACGCCCCCGCCGGCGAGCGCCGCGCCCGCCGCGGCGCCCAGCGGCCCCGCGAGGAGCCCGCCGACGACGGCGCCCGCCGTCGCGCCGCCGGAGTAGGCCGCCGTCCACTGCCAGAACGACCGGTTCTCCGGGGCGAAGAGCGCGTCGTCGACATTCGCCGCGCCGGACTCGCGCCAGAGCCGCGCGGCGTTCTCCGCGACGACGGCCGCGTCGCGCGCGACCTGGCGCGTCGCCGAGTGGCGGTCGCTCAGGAGGAGCCGCGCCTCGTTGACCAGCGCGAGCGACAGCGACACGGCCGACGCCGTGCCGCCGTCGCCGCCCGCCGCGTACGCCGCCGCGCCTGCGGACGCGAGCCGCCCGACGCCCACGGCGAGCGTCTTCACGCGCGCCGACGTCTGCAGCGTGCGCAGCGACACGCGGCAGCGGCGGCTGCCGAGGGCGACGCGGATGCGCCGCAGGTGGCCGAACGCGGCGAGGAGCCCCGCGGCGTCGCCGCCCCGGAGGTGGCGCGCGGCCAGGAGCTCGAGGCCGCCGCCGCCGCCGTCGCGCGCCAGGAGCGCGGCGCAGCGCAGGTCGTCGGCGGCGGCCGCGAGCGCCGCCGAGTCGGGGCTGCGGCGCGCGGCGAGGTCCGCGGCGCGCGCGTCCATGAACGCCGCGTCGAACGCCGCGGCCTTGCCGTCGACGACGGCGCGCAGCGCCGCGAGGCGCCCGAGGTCGACGAAGACGAGGGGCGCGAGCGCGAGCGCGACGACGACGAGGCCCCGGTCCGCCGTCGCGAGGCTCGCGACCGCGAGAGCGACCGCGACGAGCAGGTGCGGCGCGTCCGCGAGCGCGCGGCACCCCAGGGCCACGCCGTCCGGAGGCGCGACGGCGCGCTCCAGCGCCTCGACGCGCCCCGCGGCCCAGTCCGCCGTGTCGTCGGCGTCGAAGCGCTCGTCGACGAGGCGGTGCTCGAGCGCGCCGAGCGCGAGCACCTGGGCAGGAAAAGGGTGCGAAATTTCCAACTTTGGAGGCTCATATCTCGGTCGTTTTCCACTCGTTTCGGCTAATTTTTGGACGAGCGATCATCTCTCGGAGCGCCCTCGACGCGTGGATGCTTTTCCCGGAACGCGCACGCGCGGAACATTCATGTTGAAGCGAACTTGAATCACTCTTTTCCTGCCCGGCGCGAGCACGGACGCGCCCGCGGCGCCCGCGCCGAACGCGGCGACGGCCTCGAGCACGGCCGTGATGACGTTGAAGTCGCCCGCCGACGGCGCGTCCCAGAGCTCGGCGACGTAGTTGAGCAGCGACGCCTGGAGCAGCTCGTCCTCGCTCAGGTCCTCGAGCGGCGCCTTCGCGGCGCGCGCCGTCGCCGACTTGAGGGAATCGCGGAACGCCGCCGCGAAGAGGTCGCCGAAGCGGCCGCCGCAGCGGCTCCCGCCGAGCGCGTAGCGCAGCCCGACGCAGCCCAGGAGCGCGAACCGGTGCGGCCACGTCATTGTCGGCGACGCCCAGGCCCACGCGAGGTACGCCGCGGCGGGCCCGACGAACGCGTCGTCGCCGCCGGCGCCCGCGGCCGCCGCGCAGCCCGCGGCGACGGCGACGGCCGCGGGGAGCAGCGCCGTCCCGTCGGCGCGGACGCAGCAGAGGCCGAGCGACGCCGCGGCGGCGACCTGGGCAGGACAAGGGTGCGAAATTCCCAACTTCAAAGGCTCCTATCTCGGTCGGTTTCCGCTCGTTTCGGCTGATTTTTGGACGAGCGATCATCTCTCGGAGCGCTCTCGAAGCGTGGGTGCTGTTTCCGAAACGCGCGCGCGCGGAACACTCACGTTGAAGCGACGTTGAATCACCCTTGTCCCGCCCTGGCGGCGACGGGCCCGAGGCTCCAGAGCGCGACGCCGACGTCGCGCGCGAGCGCCGCGCGCGACACCATGTCGTCGCCGCGGCGCCGCGACCACGCCCAGGCGCCGGCGCCCGCGGCCGCGGCGACGCACGCGCTCGCGAAGGGCGCGCCGACGCAGACCAGCGTGAGGCTCACCGCGACGCCCGTCCCGGCGCGCCGCGCCTCCGGCGTGTCGCGCAGCCGGTCCAGCGTGCCCTGCACCGTGAAGGCCGCGATGGCGCTCGGGTCGATGGCCGCCGCCGTGCGCGGCAGCGCGGCCGTGAGCGCGCGCCCGTCCAGCGAGGTGGGCTTGTAGGTGGCCATCTCGCGCGAGCGATGCGCGCGGGGAGTGCGGAGTGATGCGCGCCGACGCGTCAGGCGGTCAGATGGGGCTTTGACCGAAATCGCGCAGGTAGTGTGATGGCTCAGGGAGTATGCGGGCGGCGCACACGGCTGACGAAAACAGCCTGGGCAAGCCCCATGCCCAACCTCTTGAGCGACCGAGGGAAACACTGACCTTGAGTTTGGCAAATGTCTCCCCGCAGCGCGTCCGTGAGCGCGCGCGAGGCCACGGTGGGCCGCGCCCCGGTGCCTGCCGCCCGGCAGGGACCCCCGGCGGCGCTCGGCGTGCTTGGTTGCTCGGGAAACGGTACTGCGCGCGCGCACGCGTGGGTCGCGAAAGTGCCGGAATTCGGCGGTCGAGACGAGCTCCGGCGCATCGACGATTTCTGGGACTCCTTCGCGGCCAAACGCTCCTCCCGGTGGTACGAGTTGACGCTGCGACGCATCTCTGGTCGCGCGTCGATTTTTCGACGATTCGCGAATGTCCGCCGGGCGCCGAGGCGCCGTTACCGAAAACGCGAGCCGCGGTGCGCCTGCGGGCGCTGGCGGCGGGCTGGCTGTCGTCGAAGGCGTGGACCATACGTTACGAGCGGGCGAAGGCATCGGAGTCGCCCCGGGTCGCGAAATCGGCGTGTAAGATGTGGTTTCGGCTCCAGAGCGCCTCAAATAGCCCGAAAACGCATGTTTTCGGGACCATGCGCAGCGTTTCGCGTCGACCGATCACCGTCGCTGTGTTCCGCCGGGCGGTTCGACATCACAGAGCTCCTGCACGACGATCTACATCGTCTCCGACGCCCAGAAGGTGCCCGGCGGTCGCCGAAAGCGCCTCGGCCGAGAACCGGCGGATGGCAACCGCGGCCTGATGCGACCGCGTCCGGGCCTCGGCCGGAGTCCCTGCGGCCTGCCAGTCCATGTGCGGTCCCGACCGCCGCCGCGGACCGCTGGACCGCCGCAGAGAGCGCCCTGGGCCGCCTTTAGGGGTCCAAAACAGCTCGTTTTCGCTTAAATGGGCTCCGATGGGCTCGCCAGAGTTCCTTTCTCATTCAACTAACCCTCTC